AACCTCCATAGTTAGTCATCTATCAAACCCATTCAGGTCTCGTGAGCCTGATCCACTGTCTCTGCCTGTCCAAGTATGCCCCAGTGGCACACCATGTCTCAGTCTCACAAGAGAAATATAATGCTGCCAGTCTCGTGCTATCAGTCCTGAGCAGCTACATCACTAGTATGAGTCCTATTGTAGATATTAAAATATATATATATATATATATACACACACACAATTCATTTTCTTCTTTTCTATTAGCCTCAGTTTTCTCTGAAGTGTTTGTCAAAATGAAGACGAACCAGTTAAAATCTCTGAAGGGAAACTCTACATCTGCGCCTGATATGGCAACTTAGTTCTTCAGTTACATTTCCATGGAAGAAACGTGCATCCAGTACTGAATGTGTAACAGCACCCGCCCAAGAGAATCATAGTGGATTGAGGCTGCCAATTCATGGTTACTGATAAGAAGGTATGAGTGTGTTGCTGCCCCTATAGGCTAGAACTCAATGAACAAAATAATCTTTCTATGTGTCTTCACAGAACTTGTGTGGCTGCCAATACTTATTTAATTAGCTTTCAGTATTTTTCAGAGGTAGATAGAGATGAAAGCCCCAAAGTTGTCTTGGAAAATGTCTATAACTTCTAGTAAATACATTTAAACAGAAAGAACATAACTTTAGTATTTCATAACAGAGCTGTCAAGTTGTATTGATGCCTGCTGCACCAAATCAAACCCACAGCTATTTGATGACTACACACTCTATACCAAGTATTACGTTAACATTGAGAAAGACCTGTGTCTTGCTTGGGAGAAGCAAAGTTATGTGATTTGCAGCACAGTCTAGCAAAAAGAAAGTCAACTTCAAATCTCAATTCTGATACAACTTAGTAACGGTGTGGGTGTGTCTGTTTTCCCAGTTGGATTCAAAAACCTCTTGAGGGATTTCTATCTCCTGTTTTTGAAATGGTGCCATCTCAAATGCCAAGCAAAGTATTTTGCATACATCAACAGAAGGCATTTCACACATGTGTATGCAGCTGGAGTTCTTCAGACTTCTTTCTAAAGAATATTTTCCAGATATTTCAGAATTGATATTAATTCTAGAGCCAGGTTTAGAGTTCAGTGACTTGAAGAGAGTTTTCCAGTCATTAGAGTCCAATCCCATGTTTAAATGGTTACATCTTTGCTCACGATTCCCATATTATCTATTATCTTATTTAATGCCTTACATATGTGAAGAGGAGGCAATTTTTACAAAAGTATCAATTAGTTGGTTGATTTTTAAGGGTATTTTGTTTCGTAGAAGATTTGAAGGGAAACATACAATAAAATGGTTTTAAAAAATGGTAAAATAGGGCCAGGTGCGATGGCTCACGCCTGTAATCCTAGCACTCTGGGAGGCCAAGGCGGGAGGATCACTCAAGGTTAGCAGTTTGAAGCCAGCCTGAGCAAGAGTGAGACTACTAAAAATAGAAAGAAATTAATTGGCCAACTAAAAATATATAAAAATTAGCGGGGCATTGTGGCACATGCCTGTAGTCCCAGCTACTCGGGAGGCTGAGGCAGGAGGATTGCCTGAGCCCAGGAGTTTGAGGCTGCTGTGAGCGAGGCTGACACCATGGCACTCACTCTAGCCTGGGCAACAGAGTGAGACTCTGTCTCAAAAAAAAAAAATGGTAAAATGAAGAAGAACGAAATATGAATTAGTAAAGGAGGTACTTACCAGGAGGAAAATATCTGGCTGAACTTTCTGAAGTTCAAACTATAATAGGAGGCACAATTTCACAGTTCTTATAATCCACAAAGGGAAATTCTGCTAAGTGACTTTACCAGGATACTATGGGCTGTTTCCCCTAAAATTTATATGCTGAATCCTAGCATCCAAGGTGATGGTATTAGATGAGGCTTCTGGGACATGATTAGGTGATGAAGGTGGAGCCCTCATCAGTGGGATTTATGCCCTTTTAAAGAGACCCCTGGCCCCTTCCACCATGTGAGGTCACAGAGAGAAAGTTCCATGTATGAACCAGAAATCAGGCCCTCACCAGACACTCAATCTGCCAGCGCCTTGATCTTGGACTTCCCAGCATCCAGAACTGTGAGGAATAAATTTCTATTGTTTATAAGCCACCCAGTTTATGGTACTTTGTTATAGCAGCCTGAACAGACTAAGACAAAAGATTTGACTCTAAAATTCTGAGTCAGGCCAAAGTGAGAAGGGTTCTAGATGTCACCCAAGTTAGGTTTATCTATTAATAATTTCATTTGCATACCATCCTTTCTCTTCCATCTTGGTGTCTGTCTTCCCTGGGAAGCCAATTATGAGTGTTTATAAACCTGATTTCTCTAACAGCTCACCTGCCTCCCGCCCCAGCCTGTGCTGAGCCCCGTCACTTGTGTTCTGGTCTTGGCTAGGAGCTGGCCTGGGATTCACAGGCATTCACAGGTTTTGGTGTTCTACAGTTAAACATAACAATTTCACGGGATACCAATTTCAAATAAAGCTACTCTATGACTAATAAATAGATCAAGACAAAAACAAGAACGCATAGGCATGTCTGAACATACAAAACACGAAAACCCCCAAATGATCAAATCCCCAAAATGATCTACCTCCCTTTATCATGGATAAACTATGTAACTACTTCTTCTCTAGCAATTACAGCTTTAACCTTGGTACTGATTTGCTTTCTGATGGGTTCTTCTCAATCTAAAATCCTGCCTCTTCCAGATCAGACACCTGCCTCCTCCACATTTTCCCATAATAATGCTAATTGGTATGCTTATTTCTCTAAAAAGCACAATGCTACCAGGGACAATTTGAAATTTTGGTGGCCACTTTGAGGAGTTTTTGACACACAACAAGTATTAAGTTTAGAAGAAAAAGTGAAATAATCTTTAGGAGGAGGTTACCCTGTCTAAACGAGAGATCACTTCATTTAACAAAGGAGATCTATCTTCCTCTGTGTTTTTTGCTTTTGTGTGTTTTTTTTTTTTTTACTTTGGGGATTAAGAAATGCAAGCTTTTTAATTGTAAGCACTGATAAAATTGTCACAAGCCCAAGGCATGTTTAAATCAGCTGTAATGCCACTCTCTTTTGTATTTATGTCAGACTATTTTTTGTATATCTAAACTTTTTTTCTCTTTTCTCTTGGAGGGAACAATTACTTTTGTATATTAATTTTCTATCATGTAATCTTGCTATAATCTCATATTAGGTTTCAGGACTTTTTGTTTTTTATTTTGGGGGAATAGAAAATGATGTCATGTAATTACTTTTACCACAATAATTTCATTTGTATGTAGCTGACTCCCTCTCATCTGTTTTTCTCTTTCTCTTTTTTTTCTCCTCCCTTGAGAAACATTTAAGATTAACTGATAAAAATAATTTTCAGTTAAGTGCCCACTCAAGAATATTTAATTCTAAAGAATAATCTAAAGAGTCCAAAAAAGTAAAAATAACTTACCAAGCAGTGTTTCTCTGACACCGGAAAGTACATTTACATAGTAGTCTTTGTTGCTACAGTTACAAGGATAACAAGACAAAGCTTAGTTCTAAGATAAAAGATGTACTTTAAAATGATTCAAAGACTTTAAAAATTAGTTTACTATATAATAGTAGTGTCAGTACAGTAAATTTCTCATGATTCATCTTTCCTCAATATCCTAGATTCGTTTTTAGTTAAGGTGCCACTGTTTCCATAACTTATTTAAAATTAAAAATTATATGTATAAAATTGGATTCAACTAAATGGAATGATAATGACGAATAACTTTTTAAAAGTTTACCTTTATGAAATTCTTACAATGCTACAAATCTTACTGAATGTCTTAACTGAATTCTACCATATCCAGATACTTAACCAAATTTAGGACCTTATAGGCTTACACAAATGATTAAGTTAATTAATAAATAATCTTTGGATTATTTGTTATAATAAATAAGAAACAATTTCTAAATAAGAAACAAACACTGGTTAATTGAACCTAATTTTAACTTACTTATTTTTTTTAAATGGCAATAGATTAACAAAATATGCAATGATTTTGGGTGATGTTAAATATGTTTATTTTTGTCTCCTCAAGTACTCATGTAAGAAACAGCTAAATAATTTAATGACATTCTGTCATTGGTTTTTTTTGTGCCTAGAGAGGAAAAATGATTACTTTGATTAATGATAACAATTAATATAAATGGTTAATAAAACTAGGTATAATGGTTACTGAAATATAGAAATATATATACAAGATAATGGATATTTTTCAGATTTTTTATTTTAAAAGTTGTTACATGATATACTTATATAAATATACTAAACTTATAAAGCCCAAAGTCCTGTCATTGTCCTTGATGGTGTAAAGATAAATCTTTGTTAGGACCTACAAGCTATCCCTTGAATTAATGACAGGCTACCTCATGCTTCTAATTATAGCTATATATCTGTTATAGTTGACCCTTGAACAACATGGGTTTGATCCCCATGGGTCCACCTATACAAAGATTGTTTTCAATAAATACATGGAAAACTTTTTTGGAGACTTGTGACAATTTGAAATTACTCATAGATGAAACATGTAGCCTAGACATATTGAAAAAAATTAAGAAAAAGCTAGGTATGTCATGAATGCATAAAATATATGTGGATGCTAGTCTATTTTATCATTTACTATCATAAAATATACATGAGTCTGTTATAAAAAGTTTAAGTTAATCAAAATGTACGCACACAAACAGGGACCCTGCATGGTGCTGTTTGCAGTTGAGAGAAATGTAAACATGCAGTCTTAAATTATAACTGCATAAAACTAACTATAGTGATAATGTACTACTATAATAATTTTATAGCCACCTTTTGTTGTTTTTGTGGTGAGCTCAAGTGTTGCAAGTATTCCCACAAAACTCCATGTGATACTGATCATCTCCAAGTGAGCAGTTTATCTCTCCAGTAAATTGCAGATTGCAGTAAAAAATGACCTCTCCAGGTTCTTGTGTATTTTGCATCATGTTTAGTGCAATAACCTTGAATAACACCATGCGATCCATTTGAGGTTTCACTAGGGATTCTATGCTCCTATGATGCCATAACAAAAGCCATGACATCACAAGCAAAAGCTGAATTGCTTGATAAGTTCCTTAGGTAGAGGTCTGCAGCTGTGGTTGCCCAGTATTTCAAGAAAGTTGAATTCAGAGTGAGGACCATCATAAAAAAGAAAAGGAAATTCATGAAGCCATCACTGCAGCTACACCAGCAAAATGTGCAGCAAAAACTTTGTACGTTTTTTGAAATAACTTTTTATCTCATATTGAAAATGTAGCTTTTACATGGGTATAGGATTACTAAAAGAACAGCATGCCTATATACTGCAATATGATTTGAAAAAAAAAACAAAGTCATTATATGACAACTTAAAGCAAAAAGAAGGAAGTTTTGAAAGCTGGAGAATTTAATGCCAGCAAAGGATGGTTTGATCATTTTAGAATGAAGTTCCATTTTAAAAATGCCAAAGTAAAAGGAGAAGTAGCTTCTACTGACCAAGAGACAATAGATGAATTTCCAGATGCCTTTATCATTAAAGAGAAAGAATATCTGCATGAATAGGATTTTAATGCAGATGGAAGTGCTCTATTCTGAGAAAAAAATGCCAAAAGTAGGCGTTAGTAAGGAGAAGTGAGCACTCAGATTTCAGGCAGGAAGGCATAGGATAACTCTACTGTTTTATGCAAATGCAGTGGGTTTATGATCAGTACTGCCTTTGTCTATAAAGCTACTAACCCCCAAGCCTTGGAAGGAAGGAATAAACACCAGATGCCAGTCATTTGGTTATGTAACAAGAAGTCCTGGATAACAAGAACACTAGCCCTGGATTGGTTTCATCAATGCTTTGTCCCTGAAGTCAGGTAATTCCTGCCAGCAAGGGACTGCTTTTTCAAGTTCTTTTGATATGGGACAATATCCCTCGCTACCCAGAACACCACAAATTTAATACCACAGGTGTCCAAGGAGTCTATTTGCTTCCAAACACAACATCTCTAATTCAGCTTCTAGATTAGGGGTCATAAGAAGCTTTAAGGCTCATTAAACACAGTACTCTATGGGAAAGATTGCCAACACTATGGAAGAAAACCATGAGAGAGAGAATATCATGAGAGTCTGGAAGGATCATACTATTGAAGATCTCTCATTGTTATAGAAAAAGCCACAAAGCCTGAAACAATAAATTCCTGCTGTGTCCAGATGTTGTGCATAATTTCACAGGATTTACAACAGAGCCAGTCAAGAAAATCACAAAAGAGATTGTGCATATGGCAAAAGGTGGACAAGTGAAGAATTTCAAGATATGGATCTTGGAGAAATTCAAGAGCTGATAGACAAAGAATTAACAGAAGACAACCTGATGGAGATGAGTGCTTCCAAACCAGTGACAGATGATGAGTAAGAAGACAGAAGAAGCAGTGCCAGAAAACAAGTTGATATTAGACAATATGGCAGAAAGGTTCTGATTTCAAGACTGGTTTTGACTTTTTTTTTTTAATACATGGAGCATTCTATAATACAGGCACTGAAACTAAAACAAATGGTAGAAGGAGGATTGGCACCATATAGAAATATTTTTAGAGAAATGAAAAAGCAGAAATCAGACTGAATTATGAGAGGCACCTCTATGAAGTTACATCTGGTGTGCCTGCCTCTCCTGCCTCCCCTTCCACCTCTTCCATCTTTTCCATCTTTGTCACCCCTGAGACCTTCTGCTTCTGAGTATGATGTGAAGACAACCAAGAGGAAGACCCTTATGATGATCCACTTCCACTTAATGAATAGTAAATATATTTTCTCTTCCTTGTCATTTTCTTAATAACATTTTCTTTTCTCTAGCTTACTTTATTGTAACAATACAGTATATAATACATATACAAAATATGTGTTAAGTGACTTTACATTATCAGTAAGGCTTTTGGTCAACCATAGGCCATTACTACTTATATTTTGGGGAGTCAAATGTTGTACACAGATTTTTTACTGCACAGTGCGTTAGCACCCCTAACCCCTTGCATTGTTCAGGGGTCAACTGTACTTTCTCTTTTTAGTTTACCCTATTTCAAGCCAATGTCATGGATTCACATGGGATCTCAGGCTTTGTCACCAATAGGTATGAGCTCTATTTCTAAAACATCCACCTAAGCCATTTCTTCACAACCTGAAACCTAGAGATTTGATTTTCTGAAAAAGGCACCAGAGCAACACTTCTTTTGAGTTTTGATGCAAAAGAAATTACCAGGAATTGTTAGCAACTATCGCCAACTTAAGGACACTTCCTCTTGACCATTGGGCATCCCAGGGGACCTTAAAGATGAGTATTTTTAGGAATTCCTTATAAGTGACAACTACATAAGCAGACAGCTCCCATCTAAAACTTTGGAATAAGCTGAGTGCAAGAGTAGACAGCTTCCGTGTATGGCCATGGAACAGGGTTGATTTTCTGCTTCTGCAGCACCCTTTTTCTTTTCCTCTGCTCTACCACTAATATTATCCATTATTACACTTTAATATCCTCTCTTAATTAATTAAAAATTTATCGATTAGTATCTTCTTTATATTCATCCTGTTACTTTTAAATTCCTACGACCTTTTGCCACTTACTTAGATCAAAGCTAAAACTCTCTGGCATGCTTTTCTAAATTGGTAGATACTGCTCTGAATTTGGCTTATTGATAACAAAATTTAGTAACTATTAATTAATTATTTAACACTTTAGAAAATAGATTCCCTATTATAGATACCTTCTGGTAGTTCAGTTTCCTTTACATCATTTAATCCCAAACTTTCAGTATTATAAAAATTGGAACTAGATCCCATGTCAACTAAAGCGTCTGGTTGAAGACACTACAATTCTATCAGCAAAAGGTACCACATCAGAAATGAAAATTAATCCTAACTTGTACCTGCTTGCTACACCCTAATTTACCCTGTGTATTCATTCTAATTGTTTGACACTTTCAGATATTAAAAACTAGCCTAAAATACTCTATACAATTAGTTCTTTCTAGCCTGCTAACATGCCCCGAGTTCCCCCATGATGTGTATTCTTTCTTGCAAAAATCCTGACTTTACCTACAAATATGTTCTTGATGATCTTTGGCTGGAAAGCACTGACAGTAGATCAATAACATACAGTTCCTAATTAAAGAAGTATATGATCCACTTGTATAATCAGAAAAATCAACTAACCGATTTTTCCTACTTCATGTTCAACACTCAACACAGAACACAACTAGGGCCAAATGTGTGGGTTTTTCCCACACCAAGCAATTCTTGGACACCAGCTAAGCATCCTACAATTAAACTCAATTCTGATACTACCTGCCTGGAGATAGTGTCAGATTCCACAGGTTAGGGACTCAGTCTCACAAGACTTCTTCCATTTCAGATGCTGCTATGGTTTGAATGTGTTACCCCCCAATTCATGTGTTGGCTACTTGATCCTCAAGGTGGCAGTGTGGGGAGGTAGGACCTAATGAAGGGCATTTGGGTTAACGTTTATTATACAGACCGGCAGGTAATTGATACATTAAAAAGCAGTATCATTAGAGAGAAGAAATCACAGTTTATTCTGTTGCTGGAGAGGGTCCTATGACAGTTTCTTAAAAGATTTGCGGTGGACTTTGAAAAACCAAGAGAAAAAGCAACAGAATGAAGGATAGCACTACTGAAGAGGGAGGATCATATCAATAGAAGGGAATGACATGAGCAATGATATTGTAGTATGAAAGTTGATGGGTTTTTCAGTGAATCCAAATAGTCAAGCAAACTGGGCCTGGAACAGAAAACAGTGGAGTTTGGACTGTAGCATGTATACAGCAGGGAACCATTAAAGACACTTAAGTAAGGCAGATATAGAATCAGAACACACTTTTAGAAGATACCCCGGTGAAAAAGTGAGGAAATAGGATAGCCTAGGGAAGAGACAGATGTTGATTGCAAAGCTATTGCAAGTGTCCAGGAGAGAAATCATAGTAGCTTGAGCTTAGGCAGGCAGTGGGAAGAGAACTGAGTGGACAGATTCACAATGAAACATTTTTGAATGGCAGTCATGTTACTGGACTCAGAAATTAACAGGATACACAGATTGAAGGTACAGAAAGGACTTGAAAATGACTCTAGCACGAGGGATGGAGGGAGGAGTGTTCAGAAATTCTGAAGGAGATGAAGATTCAAAGGAAGATGATACATCCCAGTCTGGACCCATTTGGATTGCTGTACATGTAGAGGCTTCAGCTGGGAACATCAAAAGACTTCTGGAAATACAGATTTGAACTTTGGAATGGAAGTCTAATCTGGAGAAAGAGAGAGGGAAGACAGAAATGAAGCTGGGGCTTCTGATGAAGCTATGGCAAAGTGAGTAGGTTGATGAAATCTGGACTTCTGGAGAATCCCATCAGCTAAGGGGTAGACAGAGATGAAATAGAATGTTCAGAATTGAGACAAGAGCAAGGAGATAAAAGGATACCTGAAGACAGTATATGGAACATTAAGTAAACACACAATAAATATTTTCTGAATGAATAAGAATTATATTAATAATTTCCAATTACAATTTTTTTCTCTCAAAATATCCCTCCTTTCTCTACTTTCAGTAAAATTTCCTCCATTGTGATTTTTCTGCTAACATCAGCTATTCTAAAAATCTTTTCATGATCAATGTCAGACTCTTATTTAGACTTTGTCTTTCTCAAAAATACTGGCAAAGTACATATACTCAACCTTATTTATATTTCTTAAATTACCTTGCCTGCATTATACTGCCTGAGTAGTCAAGTGGCCCCAGAATATTTGAAATATATTAACAAAGAAACAGGAAACAATTAATGGCTACTGCTGCAGCAGCTCAGTAAATTAGAATAATCAAATACATCTTGGGGTAAACTCATGTGCACATAGCTGTAAATAGTAATCTCCATTCTTTAAAAAACACAAATCAGTTATTACACCAATTCATAATCATTCTCATTTTAAGTTCTAGATGAGAATAAGTCATAATGAGAGAATTTGTACTTTCTAATTAGAGTTGATTTTTTTTTAAAGCAGAGAAATGAAATGGTGAATTATTACAAAGGAAAGTCTTATCAATTAATTGAAGAACAGGAGAACTTAAAACACATGCAAATCAAATAGAGGTAAAAAGTTCCAGTTATTCAGGGAAGTCCACAAAGCACACGTGCTTCCGTCCAGAATCCCACAGGACTTTGTATGATAGAGGCAGAGCTAAAACAAGACCATGAGTTGCTGTGGAAGAGGAATTTGGTGGGTTGGCCACACTTTGGGTGTGTGCCAGGTTTTCCCGAGCACTCAGCACACACAATCACTGCATTTGCATGTGTAAATTGGGTAATGGCACGCCTAACTATCAGATTTGTATGTGAAAATGCTATCAGCATATGCACTATTGGTTGTGTGCCCACTAAAAGAGGACTTTTAATGGGGTTGCATTCGTTGGGGAGGAAAATTTCTAAGAAGTTAAGATGATGGTTCTACATGCCTGGATCCAGCGTAGGTGCCCCTATGGATAATTGGCACCCCTGATAATTACTTTGTTGTTGTATGTTCTCTCAAATTCTGTCTAGGGGAGGAAATTCATCAGAGGATCATTTGACCAACTCTAATTAGCACAGAGTAAAATTATACCCAAGTTACTCTTGGCAGTGCCAATCTGAGCCAAACGAACAGACTGCGGCACAACCAGCCCATTCATCTTGGCCATCTTCACAATCAACATGGATCTCTGCAAAATTGACTTAGTCTGTTTTTCCTCCCTCAGACACAATATTTCTCAAACATCCTTGCTGTCATATCATTTTACTTCTCTGAAGACTTTAGAGTTTCTCAACTGCCTCATATAAGAAATAGACCAGATAGTTGCTCCTTCACCCCCCGACCCTGCCACACAGCAAAACATGATGATCATTCTTTCTCCCTACCTCAGTGGATTTCTTCCTTCTAGAAGTTTCCATGTTCATTTATTAGTACCCTAGAATGTAAATAACCATAGTTTGTCTGAGCATTCACCTGAGAAACACAGTGACCCTATCTTTTAAGTCAAAAATCGGTGCACATGACATATGGGGATAATGGGACTGAATATTTTGAATTAGAATTTGTTAAAAATTCTGGGATGTTTGGCTGTTGCAGCCAAAAGGTGCCTAATTCTGGGTGCTTCCTTCTCTGATAACTCTTACCCTGTCCATCCCCCCCAAAAGAAAAAAATCAATATAAAACAACTGTTATAATATATCCCTTTTGAACCATTCTTTCTGCTGTCTAAATGAACATTTGTGCACAAATGGCTTATCCCAACTCTGGATTTTCCCTCTTGATAGCGTCTATTGTTAAACTGCTAAAACCCACCAAGTTGTGAACCATTTGGTCTTCTTTTCACCCATCCATCTTTTCAACAGTTTTTCTCAAAGTTTGTTCTCAGTAACATTTAATAAGAAATGTCTGGAAAACTCATGAGAAATGCAGATTCATGCCTCATTCTGGAAACACTGAATTAGAATTTGGGGGAATGAGGCTTGGGAATCTATAATTTAACAAGTTCCTCAGGTGATTTTTTTTGTTTTTCACTCTTCAGTGGGCAAGTTGTCACACAGTTTTATCTTAATTTTTTATTTGCTTTTTTTCATTTTGCTGTGAGGATTCTCGGTATTAAGTTGTAACCTAACTATTAAAGGCATGCATTGCATACCTTTCCTATTAATACAGACAGGATCCTTATACTGGTTTGTGGTTGTGAGAATGAAATCTTAGCAAGAAAATACAACATGAATATTAAAATAAATGTCATAATATAAAACATGCTTTGGTCCAGGGAGATCACTGCCTTACTCGATCTACCTGCTTTGCCTGCAGTTATTTTCAAGGAATGGCAACCTGAGACCCAAGATCATCTTTACTCATGGTTTACCATGTAATGGGCACCCTCAAGTGTTATGTTGGCCTAAAAATACATACAGTCAGCAATAAGAGTAGACTGATTTATGATCTCTCAATATTAAAAAGGGGTAGCATTCCATTTCACAAAGAGTGTTCTGCTAGATGAGAGAATATCATGAACATATTGGAGAATCCTCAGTTCAGGAACAAGAAACCACTGGTATTTTTTTCCTCCATATTTTAATTTAGCTATCTGTTTCGGATTACATAAATAAAAATGAGCCTATGTATTTTCTCTATAAAATAAATCGGTGTCTCTACATAGGGATCACTAGTTAGATAGAACATTAGGGCATGTATAAAATTGCATCCGTAAAAGACACGAAAGCATTTCTCCATGAGAAAGATGCTGCTAACGGTGACCTTCATGTTGAACAGTAGGGGGTCAACACAGCCACTAAATCATTATGATTCACAGATGAGATCAACATATTCATATTTGTTTGCCAAATGTGTATTTTAATTTAAGCTTCCTCTGATTGATGCGTGTAATTTATGCTGCCTAGAACTAAAGCATCATATTTTTCTTTTTTCCTAACTAACAGGGGGAGACTTTCTTGGAAACAGATAAAGGAAAGAGTCCAGTAATTTGTAGCAATGTGACTACAGCCACACATGCTCCAGAATTAATGTTCTTCATTAGGGTGAGTAGGATCAGCTGTATGTATACATCAGGTTTTTAATTAACTCAGTCCCCACAACAGGACTCATGATTCAAACTGTTAGCATTTTTTTCTTAAATCACAAAATAAAAAAATTGGGTGGCACATCTTTTTCACACACACAGAAAAGGGGGGGCTATTCAAAGAAATGAAAGGCCCTTTGTATTCTACTGAGATTGCTCAGAAGATCTTTATAATCCCGTGTTAATCAGATAAAGGAGAGCTTGGCATTGAATGATTCCAACGAGATGCTGAAAACTCAACCATTCTCCGTATAATAGATGCGATTTCAGGTTATTTGTCCCAATGCCTTTAAAACTAACATTTGGAATTTGTTAGGCATTTTTAACTACTTTGCTCTTGTAGAACTGACCTGCTGATAGTTTCATAAGATACTATCAATTTAAGGAAACTTCAACAAGGCAACATGAGGAGCTTAAGAGAGGGGTGAGGGAAGAAACTTTTTATAGCAGCTTCATTCTCTGAGATCATATTAACATAAATTTGACAGTTAATCTCCATATTGCAAAAAGGCTGCCCAGACTTACTTAATTAAACTTAGAACAAATATGTTTCTTTATTTGCCAGGTACAGTTTTTATCTTAAAAATACTGACTTCCAATTATGATTTGAGACTGTGGTTAGGGCAAGAGCATGGGACAGAGCAGACCAAGGGATGTGTGTTTCAGGAGAGAGCCGTGCTTCCCAGGCTCCTGAAGAACTCTCATGAAAGATGCTGATGATTTGTAAAAATGATTTCTTTGCTTCAGATTTTAAATGATAAAATTAAATCCAATAGGGATAGTTTTTCCCAAATTCATTTAAAATTTATTCTTCAATAAATATTTGTTGAATAAATGCCCAGACTATTATATTTATTCAAAGAACTAGCTGAAAGAGTGCACATGAAAAGAACTATGGAGGAATGAGCAAGGCCTTTGACATCGGGAGGCCTTGAATTTGTACTTTGGATCTGTTCCATATTGAATTGCAAATAAATTAACCCTTTGTAAACCTTATGTTCCTTTTCTGCTAACTGAGGTTAAGAGTATCTCATAATTTTTAGCGAGGATAAAATATGATGATTCATTCATTTAATAAATGTTTATAGGGCATTTTGTGCCAGTCCCTCTTCTAGGCAATAGTGAATGACACAATATCCCTGTTTTCATGGAGCTTCCATTCGAGTGGAGGAAACAGGAATAAGCAGATTCTATAATTACAGGCAGTCTTAAGTTCTATGAAGCAATAACATAGAATAAGAGGATAAAGGGCAGTGGCTAAGGGAAGGTGATATTTAGGTAGAGGGTGAGAAAAGATCTCTCCAGAACGTGACATTAGAGAAGATTGGAATGAAGCAAAGAAGCAAAGCCTGAGAATTGTGGGGGAAGTGAGTTCTGGGAGGAGGGAGCTGACTTTGGTAACTGAAGTAGTAGGGAAGTAGTAGCCCTGAAGTCATCAAGGGCTTGGGAGTGATGACATGAGGACTTCCCAACGTTGGCTCCAGGTTAAGTTTCTCACCTCACATCCTACGGCCAACCCTCCTAGAACTCATGGGCTCCTTTAGGTTTCAATCTGACTTTGCGACGGGGTGCCGGTGGGGAACTGGGGGCAGGAAAGTGACAGGATCTGGTTTGTGTTTGACAAACATTACTCTGGCTACCATGTGGAGAAGAGATTGTAACAGGGAAGACAGAGAACAGGAAAGATGTAAGAGACTACTGTGGTTTTCTAGGAAAGACATTATGGTGGCTCAGGATGTGGTAGTGAGGGTGGTGGAAATGAAAGTGGTCAGAGTTGGGAACTGATGGGATTTGCTAATGGATTGGATTCCCTTCCTCTTGAACAAACTAAGCAAATACAGAACACATTTAATCAAGGTCATTCTGTTACTACATAAAGCAACAAAAAAAGCCAAACGTTTAGGGCTACAGTAAATAAGCAAGCCTTCTCAAGAGAGGCAACAGTACGGTTGGATAGCACGCATGAAATATAGCAATGCCACAGTAGCATAAAGGTGATAAGAAAGCTTCAACCTTTGTTAACTGCTTGAAACTCCTAAAATGCAATGTGACTATTTGAGAAATCCCTGCAGGGGTTTTTATGTATGCACCTGCTCATTGCTATAATAATATATGCTGCCTTCCCCATTGAACAAACAAAAGCAACCATTTAAAAGTAAAGACAGTGGCATGAAATAATTGTGTCGGTGGAAGTATTGTTCTCTACGACTCTGGTGGAAGTGAGACGCCAGATCAACTCAATGGAATTTTCTCACCAACAGAGGGTAATCTGCCAGATGGTACATCCCAGGAGGACAAGGTCCTTGTGTTACCAGGTCCTACTTCATGATCGATATAGCCATTTAATATTTGTTGAAATAAACAGAGCTAAAATATATAAAAGGGCTTTTGAAGGAATAGGTCATAAAAATGACGTTCAGTTATCTGCCCCTATAAGCAGATTGAGACTTGAGGTAATCGCCATTTGCCAGTTACAGTTACAAAATGTTTGTAGTCTTTTTATTCCTCTCAGTAAAACATCCTTCTGTCATATCATAGTCCAGGTGCTTGCACAGTTTGGAACTGGTGCCAATCAACTTGAACGCCTAGTTTCCAAGTTCCTCGGTGTGGCCAAAAGCCATTATAAATGTCACTTGTCTGTAGAGTAACTCGGGCCCTCCATGCCACAAACATCTCCGGCATGTGGCTTCCGTTATAATGATCCTGGGCCTCTGTCAAACGTGAAGGAGGCTGTAATCATGACTGGGGGGGACAGACTGTGGAGATTTCCTAGAGGGAGGCAAGTGTTTTCCCTTCACGACATGAGCGGGGTGGTCATGAACTTGCCTGCCACACAAGTGCATCTTGGGCTTATGAGCCTGTCCTCGAACACCCTGGAAACAAATGGCAAAGGCTGCTGTTGCTGAGTGGCAGATTTCCTGCGGCTCGTTCCCCACACAGTGTACTCCAGCCTCTGATGCTCCTCCAGATTGAGTTTCAAGCTCCTAGGAGAATCTCCTTCAGTTTACTCATCACGCAGCAGAATGACTGAGGAGTGTTTTGAGGGCTCTTTAGCCTCCTTCAGAGACAGAGAGAGGGAATTTCCTCCCTTAGCTGGAAAAGCATCGAGCCAGTGTGTCCTGAGAATACAGAAGAGGAAACACGGACTATATGAATCAGGAATAAATGAAACTTTTCCCTTAGAATAATATATTTATTAATTTCTCACCAGTTGGTATGATGTGAAATCAAACCGCTTATCATACTTTGGGCAACTAATACCTTTTATACTTTTATAGCATAACCTGCTTTACATTTGACAGAGTAATTTTGCACGCACTTACTTGTTTGATAAGGTAGATGGGCTAGAAGTTGCAACTGTAATTTTATGGTTACAAAATATGCTCATTGAGGTTAAGTGAAATGTCCATGGATATATAATATGTAATGAGCCAGGACTCAGATGTGAATCCTTATCAGGACTTCAGGCCCATATTTAATTAGCTACAGAAACTTTGCAGGGCTTCATAACATCCATATACCGGTATTTACTGTTTACATCAAATTACTGTATACATCAGTCAGGGATCTCAGAAGACAAAATCAGTTTTAGCTGATTAAAGCAGAGAGTTAATTTATTCAAGAGCTCTTGGGTGTGTCTCAGCATGGCCTGGTGGGCTGGTCTCCTTTATGAGCCCAAAACCCTCCATGAAAGAGACTTTTGCCACATCCATTAGTTGTCATTAAATATCCACTTCATGAATGCTTTGTTCATAGAAATATCTAACTATTACTAATAGGCTACTAGTCTAATATAATCTATCTTTTTTCTTTCTTCCATCAATAGTACTTATGACTCCAAAGGCAGAACAAGTCAAAGATAATGTCCTTTCCTTTTAAATCTGACATATCCTTCCTCAAAAAGCAGAATGTGCTGTGAGATCTGGTTTTGAGCCCCAGATCAACACATAATACCTATATCACTTTGTTTCCCTCAGATTCCTTAACTTTCCTATTTACTTCAAAGAGTTGACTGTTCATTCAGTATTTATTGAGAGGCTGAGATTAATACTGTAAAAGTGATTTGTAGACTATAAAGTTCAATGACAATCGTTGTTACCACACAATTTAGTGCTTAATTATACCCTGGCACTTATTTATAACTGTTTCATATATTTCTGGTCTTTCCTCCTGGACTGCAGGATTCTTTATCAGAGCACGTTCCCCTCTGTAATATGCAAGCACAACGCTCGTCCGTCGTAGGCTGAACGTGTACCACACACCGAAGTCCCAAGTTGATGTACATAGAAGCTCAGCTCTGGCCTTGATTCTCAGCTGCCAAAAGCCATCTCAAGTTTTTCCACTGCTCAGAGTCACACTCGTGCTCGTTAAACCATAACTCAGGATCTTCATGATCTGTTCTTAACTTACCTGTCTTTCTCTCTGATTCTCCTTCACCAAAAGGCCAAATTAACCTAAAATTCCTCACCTCTGCAAATGCCTTGTGCTCTCTTGCCATTGTGTTTGTCCTATGTGTCCTGTTTCTAGAAACACCCCCAGCTTGTTGAATCTCCATGTTTCAAACACCAGCTCAAATGCTAACTAAATGACATTACTCTAAGTGGCATAATATCTTCATCTTCTGAAAAAACAACAATTTTTGTGTCTGTGTTGCTTTTACTATTACGCAGTTATCTTTCAATAGGTTTTTCTTAGTCATCTCAGAAGGGTAACATTCCAGAAAGTTGAATCTCCTGTTTATCAGGACACCAGGACTAGCTCATAAGTGAAGAACAGAGATTATTAACACCTTGATTTCTGCAGATTTTTTAGTTCTTAAAGCTTGTATTTCTTATGACAACTTCTTGATGGATTATTGCTTATATTTTGTAGAAAAATTAAAAGTCAGGCTACAATAAAATCAGTTAGTAATGGTGAAAATAGGATTAGAAACCAGGTTCCTTGGTTGTAAACTTAATATTGCTTATATTCAAGTTTTGTCTACATTTCTTCCTATAAATTAAAATAATGATAATTACAGATCAACTAATATTCATAGTTGATCTGGTTTATAAGTGACTATATTGCTCTAACACTTTGTGATTGACAAATATCATTTCTTTTCTTCCTGACATGGTATGGTATATAATCTAGCTAATCAGATTTCAAACTATACTTTGCTATGGGCACTGACTCCGAGAAGCAGGTCACATTTTCTGAATAAATAGGAGCTTTGCAAGTAACTAAAGTATTTTGTTACACAAATGGAAGGTAACATGACTTCTTGTAATACGGGGCAAGAGTGAGGTAGGATGGATCAATTTTAGTGTTGAATTGATAAAGAGGAAATTGTTTTCATTTATGAATCCCTTATATTCCTGTTCCTGGTCATAGGGGGGAAATAAGCCTTGATACTTATGACTGATTTGATAAAATAAGATGCTACAGTTAATTTACTGTATACCTAAAGACTGTGCCTTGAAACCCTTTTTACAATTGAAAACTGGGTTTCAAATTCCCTCTGTTTAAGAAAATTAGGGACTCCATTTACAGCCATCAAAACAGATAATATCAACACAAGTGTGGGAAAAGGATTATCACTTTGGAACTATGATTTCATATATGCTTCTAGTCACCAATACTAGGGAATGTTGTCAAATATTTCTGAGAAAGCTCACACTGTCTCTGTCTCCGTAGGTTGATTAGATGAGCTTTCATACATTGGAAACCTGACTACTTTCCAACAACTTGATTTCACAAATGGAAAAACAGCATCTGTTTTCCTGCAGCTTCACATATGGCGATCATTGTTGCTAAGACAAGCTGAAGCAGGTAGTCCGTGTGACAGTGCCCCTCTGGAGTGCTGCAGTCTCCAGGGACCAGATTACACTGGTCTGCTGTGAGGGGCTCTGGCTCCCCAGGCAGTGGAAAGTGCATATTTAATCAACATATGCAAAGCATCCGTATGAACAGCAAATTACAGAGAAAATGATCAAATGCAATATTTAGAACCTCTCTGTTTGTATTTGCAGTGGGCTAATTTGGAGAGGTGTACTTCATGCCACACTCTGCTAGTTGAGTACTTAAGAAAAAAAAACATCATCCAATTGTTTGCAGAGGCAAAGAAGTTGAAATGCTTATATATGCATGAAGGGGGTAGTGCTTGTTATGAAAGAATATGGCTTTGTCACATAGCCAACAAGGAAGAATAAAAAAATGAATCAATGTTGGGCACACATGGAAAATACATTTTGTATATAAAGATACTAGAGCCCTATAGAATTTCATTGGGGGGTCTGTGTCCCTCTGAATGCTCTGATTGTGTTTTATAATCTTCAATGTATAAAATATACTATATATAAGATTCCCTAATCAGTGGCCCATTTCAGGGGTTGGGAAGCTAAACCACAAACTCTCTTTTTTTCCTGCCAGGATCAATGTTTGTGTTTTGAAGGTCAAAAGATTGGCAGCTATAGAAATTAAATTCCAGAATACATCCACCAGCCAGGTATATTGCAAACAGATGTTCTTTCACTGAAATTGCCATGCCAGTGGTCTTAACCCTCTTTGGAAGGAAAACTCAATCAATTCCAGCAAGAAAAGCCTTCAGTGATTTTGGAGTAGTCTTGGACTTCTCCTGAATATAACTATCATTTAACAAATATTTCTTTATCAAGAACTGCTTCTTTAGCATCTGTTTATCACAGGATCATAACAGATTGGAACTGGAAAACCTGAAAGTACTCAATCTTTCAGTAGTAAAATAAAAGCCAGGATTCCTAACTTGCCAGTAAGTTTTTTTCAGATCAACTTTCTTCTAAAAAATACCCAGTGAGGCACAGGTAAATTTGGAGCATTTTATGACGTTAAATAGTAACCCTCTTTTGACAGATGAAAAGTAGGAAGATACAGGGAAAAGGCAGAAATTGAAGGGAAGTTAGTAATAGAAGCAGTGTATCAGGTCACACAAGTTAAAAGATGTCAGAAAGAAGACAGCAGAGGCTACTACCCCTTAGTAGAAACTGCAAAATTAGATTCCCACATAAGATCAAAAGGAAGGCCACCTGCCTGGGCCTATGTTTTGTAGCTTATAAATTAGAAACTTAACTGTTTTAGGACTTGAACCACTGAAGTACAGAATCTGAGCAGTATTGGATGTTGCACTCACTGGGACTCTACAACCCAGCCGGCTGCCCTTGGAATGGGGACTAGCCCCTTCATAAAAGGCAGTTCTCTGGGATTACTATCCAGGAAGCTCCTACACACATCCTTCATAGCAGAGGCTCCGGGCCTGGCTCTTTCCTTTCATCAGTTTGGCCTCTTCATGCTAATGGCCCATGTTACTCCCAGATGTTACTCTCACTTTCCCATGTTTGGCTCAGGTGATTTGCCCAGGTCTGCAGTGCTGGGCCTTGGCCAGAGCCTATTTTGGATTTTACTGTTCTCCTAACCAGCTTGAGTTCTGACAGAAAGAATAGGGAGGTAAATACATATGCAGATTCCATTTTCTAGTCTGTACCTAACTAGCAATCTGCCCTTGCGAAGTCAATTTCTAAATCCCTCTCTTGGCCTCACTAGTCTCCACTGTACAACAAGGGAATCTGGCTTGAGCAATGAAGCTCCTCTGAGGCCTAGCGAAAAGACAGCTTCATGTACCTTTTCAACCAGATTCAACTGAGCAACATTTTGGATTTCTGCATAAAATTCTGTTTGAAAGAAAGACTCTGGTCAGGAAGAAAGAGTTTGTGAGCCTCTGAACTAGAGAGTTACCAAGTTTCATTATGTAATCCATGATAGAGTCTTTTATACAATTGTTTGGTCTCATAATCAAGCTTCATTTGAAAATTGAGGATCTGGCATCCTGAAACATTGCCTGATGAAAATGCCCGAGGTCTAGGTGGGTTGTAAGCTCCTGAAGAGCTGAGAAGACACATCTTACTATAGCATCTTACATAATTGTTATCATGAGGTAACTTATATTGCAGGTGCTTAATACAACTTGATAAATATTCATGGAGCTCCTGTTTTGTACCAACACTTTCTTGGTTCTGGGAATGCAAAGATGGGTGAGACATGTTCTACCAGACCCAATGGTTGAATGTTGACAGGATGAAGAAATGAATATTATAAAAAGAAAGAGGAAACCCCTTTTAGCGAGGCTGACATACGACATCTATTGGTAACCCATTTAATGGTGTCATGTATTTTATTAGTATCTAAGTTTCAGTGAAAATGAAAACCTCAATAAGATTGACTACATTAATTTTGAGTAAGGGAAATTTCCCTTTCTTGGCCTTTTCAAACTTGGGAAAAGTTGTAAGTGCTTTATTTCACCCCTTAAAAATACAAACTTCGTGGTGGAGACTGAAGTCATACCTAACTCATAACTTCTCACAAATTTTGCAAAGTAGTGAGGGAGAATTTCTCATACTGCCGGTGCTCTGCAGGCTGCTGAACTATTCCTCTTTGCTCCTCTTGAACTCAGCTTTGAAGCACCTTCTGAACAATTGTCTGTCCAAATGTCTAGTGGCCCATTGTGGTAATTATCACTACATCACTAAGCATACTCCAAAAGAAAGCTTACTATTCCAGAAAGTCCTAAAAGTCTACTCGTTTTTCAGCCAAATGATTCCTAGTGACAGTAGCCTCAGAAGCCAAATTTTAGTTCTTCCCTAGTTTTCTGAGAAGTATAATATTAATAATAGTGCCTGATAGGCTGTTTGAGGATATAATAGAGGTAAAACACTTAGAATGTTTGTTGTGTTTAAGAGAGCTGTATAAGGAGCAATTACGATTATTATTGTCGAAATGTTGGATTTTTTTTTTTTTTTTGTAATCATAGTGAACTCAATAAGAAGCATGATGCCCACATGGACGTTTTTTCATATGTGTTGTAGGAAACCTACTGAAATGACTGTGAGACCCTACGGTGAAAAGTGATCTTTCTGCAGTGAGAATGAGCCAGGGCTGGGCAGTCAGCACACTTGAGTATTGTACCTGCCTCCACCACTGGCAAATACCACCAGAGATGCTGTGAAATGCAGATTCCAAGGCCCCACATTATATCTACAGCATCAGAATCTCTGGGGTGGGAGCCCAGGAGATTCTTACACACAGTGGAGTCTTATGCACATTCAGCCACCCAGGTGTTATGCACCAGCTCCGCCACTTACCACTTTCTAGCTTGTAATTTTGGGCCTGTTACTCAATCTCTTCAAAACCTTGGTTTCTTCACCTACAAAATGGAGCTAAAAGCACATTGTGGAAATTAATAAGACGATGCATGGAAAATGCTCAGCCGGTCTGCACAAAAGAAATGTTTGGCACACGTATGTATTAGCTTCTTTCAGCTTTATCCCTGCATTGAATTACATCATTGGAAATCAGTGAAAATTATTTAGATAGCACTAACATATGCAGTGAGTTCCTAAAAGAAATGAGTGTCCAGATAACATGTTTCTCTGAACCAGGAATTTTCCTGTAGTGGACTGGGAGGTGGGCTAGGGGTACAACCATCCTAGTATAAACAAAGCACAGTTATGGATCAGAGCTTGTTGGAGTCCTTGGTTGTATTAGGGAAGAAAAACAATAGGTTGAGTACCACTGCCCTGGGGGGACTTGTATGATTCTTTTCTTTTTCAGAAAATATCATCCTACTCCTCACCCTCAAGGCAGTTTTTGTTTTTATCCTCAACTCTTAGGAAAGTTGGTACCCAATTACAGGAACTCACTCATCCCAGAGAGCTGGTTCATTTTTCTTTGCTTTTCTTCCCCTAATGTCTTTTGATTTTGATTCAAGTGTAATATTTTGGTCTATCTCTCTTATTTCATATTTGTTATAGAAATTTAAATCACTTTAACTCCCTTTATATAAGAATGAACGAAATAGGTAAGAAATAAAGTCATAAAGCATATAGAGAACAATTAATGTTTTTTATTTAGGAAAGCTAAAATGAGAATAAAAAGAATCAAAACATTGATGGAAAAAAATTGAGATCAGAGCTCAACAGTCACAGGGAAATGAAACTTGTAATTTAACAATCAGAAAAAATAAACACATTAGGACAAAAAGCTTTTGTTAACAGAGTACAAAACATCAAGTCAAAGGAAAGCACTTACTAATCAGACCAGCTTTCCTTGTAATGATGACTATACCTAAATATTGCCAAATATATAAGTAAAAATGGAAATTCTGGTTAACAATTTTTAATTACTCATTTCTAAGTGATGCCAAGTGTATATTAACAAATAGCTGAATGATTGACTGAATGTTTTGGTTTTCATCTGTATGTTTGGTGTCATGTAGATAAATGCTCAATCTAAGGAGTATCGTATTAACAAATTGAAAAGCAAAGGAGCAACTTGTTGAATAAATGATGGGTTTTTAAGTCTTGCTCCATGGATAAATATCATGGAGAAATTTCCAAATCAAAACATCAATATGATGCACTTGTTAGCATCATTTTGCACCCTAGGTTGTGGTTTTTCTGTGCTACTGAATCTTTCTAGAATTCTCAATATCCTTATTTCACTCCTATTTACATTTTAATATTATCAGTGTATTTTTGTTAATCACATAAACTCCAAATGCAGATTGAATAACCACCTATCTATATAGACATTTGTATTTAAGACTTCTGTAAAACTGTGCTTACTCTTTTTTAGCAAAGTATAGATAGCAAAATAATGCTACAGTTTACTGACAAGGACTGTTTGGGAGGGGGAAATAGCATTTACATATGCACATGAATGTACGAAGGATTGCTGGTCCCACTCTGATGTTCCTGGATGAAATATATGTATGAATGAACATTAGCGCTGGCATTTATTTGAAGCAGTGGGATTTTGGGAGGGAGGGAGCAGTGGGAAGGAATGTTCTGGGAAAAATAGTAAAATTCCTCTCTTATAGTTCCCTATGTCCATTTCTCTCCTTTTTTTGTCCTTTTTACCTTTGCAGCCTGCTACACACACAACCCATGGAATATCAGGTATTGAGCAATGGGTATTCCTGGTGGCAGTGGGTAAGGAGCCCTTTCACTTCTCAGTTCTTCATGTCTCTCTCTCTCTCACAATCCCCCCATTTATATATATATATTTTTTTGTTTGTTTTTGTTTTGTTGTTGTTGTTGTTGTTAGAGGGATATTAAAGATCAGCATATGCATTTACCATTTACATGCCAACTTTTTCTCACCAATTAAACCAGATACAATGAGAATTTTTTTTAAATGTAGTTGAGTGTTCTGAAAAACAGAGGACCTAGAAACTACTGGCACAACTACTTCAAAACTAAGGAAAATTTGTATGCACTGGGCAACAATATGCAAAGAGTCAATTCCCAGTCTTCTGAGCCAATAGATGATGTAGACTATCACAAACTGTGGATGATCTAACAGCCATTTGTGCTTGGCATTGATATGCTTTTGTGATTTCATTTTGCCAGAAATCTTCCTGTTAGTTTAGGGAAAAGGAAATGTATTATTTCTTGAGCATCCAAGAATGATGTACATATGAATAACAGGTTGAGGGAGGATGAGGATGATTCAAAGCACATAATCTGGCCACTACCAAAAGTTAGCCATTTAATGGTTGATGCAGAGGAGCTAGACAGGGAGCCAGCAGCTATGGGATGGCTGTGGTGTTCCATGCATTTAACATTCAACATGTAGGAAAATCCACAAAATAACCCCAGGTAATATTAACCCCATTCTATAGATGAGAAAACTGATTCTTAAAAGGGTCAATTAACTTACTCCTATAATTTCTCAGACTTTATGTCAATGAGGAGGTTTTTGCTTGTTTGTTTTTGCCTGTTGTTGTTTGCATTTATTTTCTTATATAAGGTGTTGAGCTCTGTCCCATTATTCTCTATATCCTTTTTGTCTTTCAAGTCCATAGTTGCCTGAGAGTGAGCCCTGTGAAAACTCCTAGGGCTCCAAGGAACAGAGTTGAGAACCACTATTCCAGGCCATTCTGCTTCTCTAGTAAATGTATTTTCACCACTACCTTTGCAAGTTTATTTATAGTGTAATTTTATATCTGCAATATAAAATATTATACAATTTAAATAATTTAGCTCTTATTTTATGTGATTCTTTTGAAAAAGATATATGAGAACTATAATAACCATTAATGAAAATACTAACTAACCTTTATTGAGTCCTTGCTATGCTCCAGAAACTAAGTCCATGATTTACTAACTTCTTTTTTTTTTTTTTTTTTTTTTTGAGACAGAGTCTCACTCTGTTGCCTGGGCTAGAGAGTGCCGTGGTGTCAGCCTAGCTCACAGTAACCTCAAACTCCTGGGTTCAAGTGATCCTCCTGCCTCAGCCTCCCGAGTAGCTGGGGCTACAGGCATTTGCCACCACATCTGGCTAATTTTTTCTATATATTTTTAGTTGTCCAGCTAATTTCTTTCTATTTTTAGTAGAGAGAGGGTCTCACTCTTGCTCAGGCTGGTCTCAAACTCCTGAGCTCAAATGATCCTCCCACCTTGGACTCCCAGAGTACTAGGTATTTACTAACTTCTTAATTCTCATTTTACATATGAGAAATTGTGGCACAAAAGAATTGAGCCTAAACTTAGAGTTTGCTTTTTTAAGCACAAATATGTTTTTTAGTCAATTTATAACTTTGTGTTTTTAAAAAAAGAGTTAGGCTATTTATATTTTTTATAATAATAAGCACTTTTGGTTTTATTTTTGTCATGTTGTTTTATGACTTCTGTGTTTTGCCCTTGCCTTGTGTTTCTCCTCCATTTCTCAGACATGAATTCTATCTTTTGCTAAGTTAAGCAGTTTCTTTAGACATTTCTGTTAGGTTTGGTTTTGTTTAATTGTTTTGTTTGATATTTTTCATCTTCACTTTGTTGTTGCCTTATAATTAAAAAAAAATAAATTCTATTTTAATTAAATTAGATAATCCTTTGCTATTTTAAAATACATTTACACTTAACACTTTTAAATAAATATCAGTGTAAAGAGAATACTCCCTCTCTTAGGCCAATAAGAGATTCCTTCACTTTCAGCCCATCCCATCACTTTTTTATCCACTTCCCAGTTCTTGTCGATACAATCTAAGAATTTAAAACCAGAGTTTACCCATTTAAAAAAAAATTACATATTCTATCTTTGAAATATATATTTAACTTTTGTGTTAGGCTTTGTAATAAATTATGCATACAATAATTACTTACACAACTGATTAATCCTTTTTACATTCAGTTCCAAAGCACTTTTTTTTCCTCTACAACTCCCCAATTGTTACCATTTAATATTTATTTCTATCATATCTCGGTAAGTTGGAGGGTACCTTCACATAATATTTGGAAGACAAGTATATGGATGTTTATTTGCTGAATTCTTCTATGCCTGATTATGTCTTTGATGCTGCCTATGTACATTTAATTTATCCTACCAACACTCTATAAATACCAGTGGATTTCTTTCCCACACATGAACTGCACATGAGGTCTGATGCTAACCTGATTTAGTTGTTTTATATGTACACTGGTTTTCTTCCATGGCTACTTAGAGGATGTTTTTGTTTATCTTGCAATCCTAAAATTTTAGTAGGAAATATTCTACCACCTATTGTTTCTCATTAATTTTACCTGCTTCATGATGGGAACTTTAGTGTGCCTACTCTTGTTTTCTTTTAGTTCAGGAAACTTTTTCAGCATTATGCCATAATTACTGATATGTAGTTCATCTTTTCTTCTTTAGAAACATTATTTGTATATTGAATATCCAAGCTATGTGTTTAAAAGGTGTCCCATCATTTTAGTTTCTTTGAACATTTCCTCTGAGTTCTGAGAAAATTTTTCACGTTTCTCCTCCATGTTACTAGGTATATTTTCTACATTGACGATTCTGCTTTCTATTAGGGCCAACAGTGGTTTTGTATTTCTTCAATGTAATCATTACTTTAAAAATAAATCTATACAATTTATATGTGAATTTAGCATATGTTATAGTTTTCATATATATAATTCATACATTTTTAAGCAATGTTTTAATTTTGCAAACCCTGTTTAATCTCCGCCTGAAGCTCATTAGCTAGTTTCCTTTGCAGCTCAGCACATTGACTTCTCAGGTCTTTTTTTACTTCTGTGTTGTTAAATAACTTACTGCAGTACAGAGAGGGGCTGAACAAATGGATACAAAGTGAGCTCAGTTAAATTAATGCAAAAAACAGAAGAGCTATTTAGAGTTAAATGTGATAGCTCAGGCTTTACAAGACAACTGAAGAATCCCTTGTATTCTAGCTAAGGGTGAAGTTAACTGAGGAGGAAGAGAAGGGAAAGATGGCAATAGAGACTATTAAAACATTAACCAAGAGTACAAAATCACTAAGTAAGTAAAAACCTAGATTATGCCTTGGCACTAGAAGTTGATATGGATATGCCCAATATCCTATAAGTAATCTGGAAAAACTTTACAGAGATGAAAGACACCAAGCAGACAGAATTTGGAAATTAATGTCAACATGGCCTCATCTGCATCATGGGTTGGCAAGACCTAAGGGTATAGTGGTTATGTCAGTAATCACAGTATCACAATGCCTTCAATTAAATTATCCCCAAACACTTTCACTGTGATGCTTTAGCAACCTTTACATTACAATCCTCAGCTTCCATCTCTCTCCATGGAGATCACGTAGGCCTGGAACGGACTTTAGATGTTGGGATTTAAACTGCAGCCTCCACCATAGCCACTAGCCCCACAGCTGGGTGACTTCCTGTTTTGAAAACATCCATATTCCGCTCGTTTCTCTTTCTATGTTTATTGTACTTCTATGTGGGAAACTGGGCAAATTTGTGAAATAGACTTCGAGGTTCTCAGCTTTCTCCCTCTGCTTATCGTGACCACTTGTGCTTCTTCTGGAGTAAATATTTTCTCCTCAGAGCTGGGACTCAAAACAAGTAGAAACACTCATAGTCTCTGAAAGTTATTGATTCTCTCCTTTCTCATCCTTTCTTGTTCCTGTCTAGACTCTTCAGATCCTAGGCAGTAAGGAAATAACGCACTTCCCCAGAACTTTCACGCTACAGTGCCCCCTTGTGCAACTTGGTAAGGGCTAGGATGGCAGGGATCCAAGGAAAAGAAGAAAGGCTCAAATAGGGTTATTTTAGGGTTTTGTTTCCAAATATATGGAGGAGCCAAAATGTATTTTCACACACAGCAGGTTTTTTCCCTCTTCTTCTTTCATTGCCTATATAAAGGAAAACACTTTGTTTTTAAAGAGGGGAAATCCACCTCTGAAATTATGGAACACTGACACAGCATCATTCATCTTGGCAAAAGTTGACTGAGCAGATGATGTAGATCCACTTAACTTGGACTCAATCAAAGGTTTTGCTATTTTCATTTCACAGGCCAGATGTAGCTCATCATCGGTTGGAATCAATTCCAGAAGAGGTGTTAGAGTCTGTTGGTCCAAGAGAAAGTCTGATCCAGACACCAAAAAGAGCCATGAGGAAAATGGATACTATCTCCACTGATCTCCCAACAATTTAGGTAGTACAATATTCAGTTCAGATTAAGCAATGGGATAACCTACAAGCGATGCTATTTTAGTGAGTTTATAAGGTTATATTAAATTCATAGTCATTGTCAAATTATCTCCCAGGTTCTATTTCTGTGAATAGACTGTCATATCCAAATGGATGGGGAAAGTGAATAATTATTAATATTAATAATACATACACTTGGATTTTCTTCTTTGTTTTACACTTGAGTTTTCAATAAATCAGAAAAGCTAGAAACCAATCACATGCTAGAGATGTGTCTAACTGAGCTACTTGAGTCGTCTGTATTGACTAGAATCTGACCATCAAATGCTTTATAGTTTGTTACCACAGCTCCTACATCTTAAAGAAAACACATGCTCAGTTTATTGAATATAATGCAAGGAGTCAGTATTTTCTGACTAAAATTAATTTAAAAAAATATGGGAATCTTTATATCAATCTTAATACACATTACAATATTTATTTCTCATACTCTTAAGAGTAGGCACTCAAATCTGAATTTCTTAAAACATCCATCAAAAGCCATGCAGATCAATAAAAAGGGCAAATAAATCCAGCCAAAACTTTTCTCTACAGCATAGCTAGGAAATAGAAAGTACTAGGAACTTCAATTTCCATATATGTGGGGAAAAACTTTAGCAACCAGCAAGTCCAGCTTGGAAAACCATATTATATCAACTAGAGGAGAGTCCAGCACAGTTCTAGAGGTAGCACAATGCAGACAAGTTTATCTAGAGTAGTACGTCCCCAGAAGAAAAGACTCCTAACGTAAGTGGGGAAATAAACTTCCCACACACCCCAATTCAAGGTGTTATGAGTACCTACTTGGGTCATGGATTGAATTGTATTGCCCCAAAACATGTTGAAGTCTCCCCTCCTAGCACCTATGAATGAGACCTTATTTGAAAATAAGGACTTTGCAGATGATCAAGTTAAAATGAAGTCATTAGGGTATCCCCTAATCCAAGAAAACAACCCAATTAAAAATAAACAAATGACCTGTATAGATATTTCTCAAAATAAAACATACAAATGGCCAATAGGTGTAGGAAAAAAAAGATCAACATCACTAATCATCAGTGAAACACAAATTAAAACCAAAATGAGATATCACTTCCCACCTGATTGGATGGCTATAATCAGAAACACAAAAGATAACTGGTGTCAAGGAGGATGTGGAAAAAAAAGAAACCCTTCTACATTGTTAGTGGGGATATAAATTAGTATGGCCATTACAGATTATGGAGATACCTGAAAAAATTAAACACAGAACTTCCATATAACCCAGCACTCCCACCTCTGGGGTGTATATCCAAAGAAAATAAATTTAGTATCTCAAAAAGATATCTGCACTCTCAAGTTCATTGTAGAATAATTCACATTAGCCAAGATATACAATAAACCTAAATTTTCACTGATGGATGAATGGATAAAGAACATGTGGTATGTATACAATGTTGGTAATTACACATAAATGGATTAATGCAAATTGATTGAATATTCCAATTAAAAGACAATGATGGTGAAATCAAAGAGTAATACCATCTTATATATTATTTAAAAGCAGCACACTTTAAATATGAAAACACATAAGAGAAGAATATATACCATATAAACCTAGAACTTAACAAAGCTGGCATGGCTATAATAATATCAAATAAAGTAGACTTTAAGGTAAAGAAAATTGCCAGAAATAAGGAGGAAATGTCACAATATCACCAGGAAATTATCCAGAAGACAATCTAAAGTGTATATGCCACTAACACCAGAACTTCAAAATACATAAATCAAAAATTGAAAGAACTAATTGCAGAAATAAACAATCTTAGTTGGAAATTTTTACACTCTTTTCTCAATAATTGATATAGAGCAAGTAAACCAAAAAAAAAAAAATCTGTTAAGGACATGGAAGACCTAAACAATCTTAATAATTGCCTTAAACCAATTGACATTCATAGAATACTCTATCTGACAACACCAATTATACATTTATTACAAAATTATTTGTAACATTTAATAAAATATATCGTATATTAAGCTATAAAACAAGCTTCACTATCAAAGGATTAAATTATACATATGATGTTCTCTGACATAATGTTAAATTAGAAACAAATACCAATAAGATATCCAGAAATATATCCAAATATTTGAAAATCAAACACCATACATCAAAATAATTCAAAGGCATTTGAGAAACTATTAAGTATGAAATGTCCGATTTCCTTAAGTACTAAATCTGACATTTCACATTGACACATCTTGTTTTATTTTTATTGTGACGGTACATGCTTGGTCTTGCAAATGCACATTGTTACTTGTGATTATGTTTCATATTTTTTTAAGAGCAATTTTGTGAAAACATGGATAAGTCAAAAATTTGTGTTATTTTCAAATATGAATTCCTTATGGAACCAATGCAGCACAGACAGCTCAAAATACAAACGAAGTGTTTGGGAAGGATGTGGCTAATGAACACATGGTACGTTGATGGCTAGAGAAGTTCTGTTCTGGTGATTTTAATCTTGAAAATGAGCCACGTGGGTGACCTCAGACCAACCTGGATAATGATGAGCTTCCATAGTGGAAGCAAGTCCATCTCAACCTATGTATGAATTGGCAGCAAGGTTTGACGTTACTATGCCAACAATATTGGACCATTTGAAACAAATTGGCATGGTAAAGAAGCTGGATAGATGGATTCTGTATGAATTAAACAAGAATCAAAAGAGAAATCATCTCAAAGCTTGCCTTTCTTTACTGTCACAACATAAAGGTGAACTATTTCTATACTCTATTGTACATGTGATGAAAAATGGATTCTTTTTGACCATTGCAAGCATTCAGCACAATGGTTGGACAAAGATGAAGTGCTGAAACACACTCCAAAACCCAATATTCATCCAAAAAAAGCTGTGGTGTCTGTTTGGTGGTCCAGTGCTGGTATTATCCACTATAGCTTCAATGAAACCTGGTCAATTGATTACAGTAGATGTCTACTGCAGCCAGTTGGATGAAATGATAAGGATGCTTGTGATCAAGCAGCCAAGATCGGTCAACAGAGACAGGCCAATCCTCTTGCAAGACAACTCTTGACCACATGTTGCACAAACACTGCTACTCAAACTACAGCAGCTAGACTTGGAAATGCTCTGTCATCTGCTGTATTCATCAGACCTTGTACCAACTGCTTACCTCTTCTTCTGGGCTTTGGACCACTTTTTGCAAGGAAAAATATTCAATTCTCAACAATCTGTGGAAAATGCCTTTCATGATTTCATTGCCACTCATTCTCCAGGTTTCTTCACTGCTGGCATAAACAAGATACTGTTAAGATATCAAAACTGTGTCAATAGTTTAGGTACACACTTTGAACTTTGATTAATTGTACTACTTCTTGTTTGAAATATAATAAACTATACTTTTGATTTGAGATTGGATATTTCATATTTAATGACCTAATAGAAATATTTTGATCTAAACAGTGAGAGCCTAACATGAAGCTAAAATTTATGGAGCTAAAGTAATAACTAGCAAGTATCAGGATATAGGTGGGCATCAGATCTGCTAACTAATTCAAAGGGAAGTTATCAAAATCCATGAAGGACAGTTATCATAACCTCTGAGCTCAGGCTATTTAAGTATTTGGTCCAATAGAAACTTGTTGGTCTGTAGACTCTCAGCTTTTAGATACTGTTGATTGAAAATATTTACTTAAGCTAGCAGATACTGGTGGCCCACAGAAAAAGAGTTGGCCTTGGTTTCTATTGGGCTCCTTAGGGCTTGTTACTGAGGTAGCTGCTTACTTCAAAGGTCTACTGGTCTGTCCCCATTGTCAGATGCAGACCCTACATACCTCTTTCATCACTTCCATCATTTTCCCTTTCCTTACCCTCCCAGCCTAGAGAGCTTTAAACATCAGACGGCAAGGAAGCCTCGCTCTTGCTCATAAGATTTTTTCCAAAATCCTAAGGAATTTTTCAGGGATAGAATCTTTTAATTCTTCTTGTTTTTGTTATACCACTTTACTGAAGCAAAGGAAACAGCTGATGGAATTGGCTTAGGAGAGTGGAAGGAAATAACAAGGGAAATGTCAAACCAAGTTTCTCACTCAGGGTTGTCTAAATTAGACATCAGGGTTTTAACCAGTGCATTAGTCAAGATGGCATAGGATATGCAGCAGTAACAAATAACAATTACATACCAATGCCTTAACCTGTAGGGGCTGGGCCTAGAAGAAAGGATGGATGGAAAGAACGTGAGCAAGGTGAACGGAGGGTCAGGTGAAAATGCCTGCCAGAAGCTGCTTGTTTGCTGTGTGCAAAGGTCAGCTGAAAACCCCTGACCTATATGGAAGTTGTTAAGGAAATTAACAAATGGCTGTGACCCTTTGCACGTGACCTTGGAAATAAACACAGGGAGGAACTTAGTCTTGAGGAGGCCATTTTCTCTTTCAGATTTTGGCCTCTCCTCTTCTCTCTAAACACTATGTGTTAGAGTAATTATTCCTTCCTTCACTATGGAGCTCGGGAGTGCAAAGCAGCTGCAACAAATGGTGACCCTGACGTGATTCAGAAATCTGCAGGTCCAGTGAGCATTTTTGTAGTCCAGACTACAAGGGGAATCATCCTGGTAAGGGACAGTCAGGCTTGCTGCTTTAGGAGAGGAACCATCGTGGGTAGTTCAGAAGAGGATTCCTAATATGGGGCAGCACCTGACAAAAGATCAGCGAATGTATCTGCACTTTGCAACAATTCTTAAAGGCTGCCTAGTGTTCTGTTGAACCAAAAGCTTTACAACAACTCTTATGTGTGGTAAGAGAGCATTGCCTCTGGTTCCCAGAGGAGGGAACATTAGATTTAGAGGTCTGGTAACAAGTAGGGAAGATTTTTAAGAAGAATCTTAGGGGGTTCCGGTGCCCCTTGCTGTGTTAACTACATGGAGTCTGGTGCGAATAGCAGTGACTTCCTTGCATATTCCTGCAGATTCTAATCCACTGGAACCCACTCCTCCTCCGCTGCCATCTGCTCCACCAGAGGAGCCTGGGTCCCGTGCTGTAAAATTCCCCAAGCCCAGAGCCATTCTCTCCACCTTAGCCTGCTGCGGCTCAACAGGAGCAGCAGCTCCTTCCTCCTCCTCCTCTCCCAAAAGGGGATCTCTATTCCTCCCCTGGTAAGCCAGCCACTTTTCAACATTACCTATGAGAGGGCCAATTTTTATGGGGATGAGATTTGCTAGAACAATGGAA